CGATGCTCAGCCTGCAAGAAAAAACAAGCAGCAACAAGTAGATAAGATTCTGGAAACACAAAAAAGCATGTTTCAGATGTAAATGAAAAAAAAAAAAAAAAAAAAAAAAAAAAAAAAACTTTATTAAAATGTAATATTCAACTTACATTGATGGACATTAGGTGGCGGTAGCGCAGACTGTTCATGTTCTTTAACATGTGGCCCTCATCAAAGATGGCATACTTGAGAGGCAGCTTACGAAAAAGGCTTCGATCGTTGTCATTTCCTATTGCCAAGTTATACCTGTAAAAGAAATAAAGGCAGATTATCATGAATCCAACACAACAGAACAAATCTAACTTATTTTTAAATTCTGCTTGCTGTTTGAAGTCATCATTTAGGCTGTTTGCTTACGTTGTGACAATGACATTGAAATCAACATCACCGTTGAGGATGTCATGTTTGAGGTAGCGGCGCTCTTCCACAGATCCTACGGATCACAAGGAGAAATGATATTTGAACCAATAATCCTTTGAATATCACCAAAATATTTTATGCCATGAAAAATATTTTTTTAATCAAATATAAACACAAAATATATTTTTTACAACAAGTCTACCAATACAGAAGAAAGCATGACTGTCATGTTCTCCTTAGCTACGTAATTTGCCTCATTGTTAGAACAAAAATATAATTATTAAGAAAGCACATATGAAAAAAAATCTTACCATAATAAATAAGCACTTGAAGAGCTGGACACCACAGCCTCAGCTCTCTGACCCAATTATCTAAAAGATGGAGAAAATAAAGCAACATAAATCACTGCTTTATAATCATTTTAGAGGCAACACCAGACCGAGTTTATATTATATATTTTATGTGCCAATGCCTTGTACCTAGTGTGGAGGAAGGCACAGTGATGAGATGAGGACCTTCTATTCCATTTTCATACAGCTGAGCCAGAAAAGCTATAGCCTGGATGGTTTTCCCCAAACCCTGAAATAGGTGGAATTGAATAACAGAAAAAAGGAAGTGGGTAGAGGTTTTGAGACAGAGGATATTACAAACTTAAAAAGGTAATACTTGAAGAAATTTGAAAAATGGTGAAAAAGGCACTGATATTAAAGTTCAGAACATAATACAAAGAACAGAGTCTCAGAACTTCAAGAACATTTTTTAAACATATAAAAAAAATATTAAATACAAGGAAAGTGATTTTAATTGTTTTGTTTTTTGTTTTTAAGCCCTTTATGGTCTTCGTCCGTTATGTTGACTGTACATTGCCCCATTGCCCCAGCAGAGCTCTCCGGGGTCCTGATGAAATGGTTCTGGATGCGTTTGTTCCTTTGTGGTTATCCCAACCTAAACTGTGGAGCAACTTGTCCCTCGGTCTGCGGGTTCTCACTGATCTGCACGTATAAGTCCCGATTAAAGACTCATTCTTTTCAAACCGGCTTAGGACACATTGTTTTATGCTTATGATGTTAATTTTTTTTCTCACTGTTTTTATCTTTCTGTGAAGCACTTTGGTCTTCCTGGTGTTGTTGTAACAAACTTTGATTTAATTTGACTACACAGAAATAAAGGAATTTTGAGAGAGAACCTAATCTATGTCTGTTTTTGTGCCTTTCGGGTCTATATCCAAAATTAACATAAAAGCCAAGAAGAAATCAAAGAAATTTTTCATTTGGGCTGCACCTCAGAAGGTAAGTAAGAGTAGAGTTGTCGAACTGGTTCCTTCAACATCAATTCAAGCCTAAATATTCAAATCACTGAATCCAAACTGTTGCCTGCTGGTTTCTCAGCTTCCAACCTGATCAACAAAATCCAATCAGGCAGCAGTAATTAAGCTAATATTTCAAAACTGTAGCTCTATGTTATGTCTCATAGAAATCAAGGCTCCCTTCAGGGAGAGCGCCCCTGTTCTCAACTCAACATCAGAACCACAGTTTACGCCACACTGGTGTGTAACCAAAGGTCATAACAAAACCATTTCTGGGATAACAAAACAAACTGTCTGAAGTTCTTCTTAAAAGTCATCATAATAAAGTAGTGGTCAACTTTCTTTCCAATTTTCAATATTCCAAAAGAAAAATCAAATAATAAGAAATATTGGTACAAAACTATTAAACAAGAGTAACCTTACCATTTCATCAGCGAGGATCCCGCTCAATTTGTGCTCGTTGAGAAGCATGAGCCACTTTAGACCAATCAGCTGATACGGTTTAAGATGCAGCCTCAAGGGGAAACAAACGAAAACGATACTTACTCTTATATACTCAAACATAAAATATATACAAGTTAAAGCACTTTAGTGAAAAAGAAAAAGATTTTAATATTCAAATGTTAAACATCCAAATCCTTAAGCCTTTTTTGAAGACAACCAGCTTCTAACGAGGTTTTATCCGTTTTAGTCGGTTCAGTTTATCAACAAATGCTTGTGTCTTTTTTTTTTTCTTTTTTTTTTTACAGCTTCTGTGTCGTCTTAGGCAATTATAAAAGGCAACACTTAGATTTCTGTCATTTAAAAAACTAAATATATAAAGTATAATTAATATATTTTCTTTGAAAAATCTGCAAAACAAGTCGTTAGACCTTGCTTAAACATAATTGAAGACATTTCAGTTACCATTTTATATGAAAAAAAAAACATTACTTCAAACTCACTCATCTCCATATAGTTGTTATAACACTGACACTTAAGCACACACACACAATGTTGAGGAGTTTCCCCTTAAAACAGTTCAACGGTGAGCTGTACTTACTGGCTATTGAGTAAACTAGGCTGTTTTGTGGAACCAGTTCCTCTCTCCATCACTTGAGTGACCTGCTTAACCATTTTTGAAGAAATAGTTTGACATTTGGACATGAGTCCAAGGATGACCTTCCTCTCTTTGAGGACGACTCTGCAGCCATGCAGTAAATCATCAGAGAGTCCATTTCCTTTATGAAAGACATCCCACTGAAAAGGAAGAATATAATGTCAGAGTTTAAACATGGATTCTCAGCGTAGTGGGCTGCTACGCATAAATAGGGTCAATATGCAGATTTGAAAGTGTATCAGCCCTTTGACTGTTATCTGGGCCCCCTCCCCAATGTTTCTGTCCATGCAACTGCTCATTACGCTTAAAGTTAAATAGCAAAAATCCAGCTGACACGCTGAATTTTAATATTCACAGCTTAGTGGCAATGGAAACGGTGCTTGTAAATAGATATACCTCCTTATTTGGACGCATGTGAGAAACCCCTGACCAATGTGAAACCTGAGCCCTTTAGACCAGGCATCCCCAACTTCAGGCCTCGAGGCCCGCTGTCCTGTAGGTTTTAGAGGTTTCCCTGCTTTAGCACAGCTGATTATAATGATTGCAGGAGACCAAAAGCCTGTTAATCAGCTTTCAATTAAAAACAGCTGTGCTGGAGCAAGGAAACCTCTAAAAGCTGAAGGACAGCGGGCCTCGAGGACAGAGGTTGGGGATGCCTGCTTTAGACTGTCAGAGTGCACTTGCGGGCAGATGTACACGTGTGATCACATTAACATGCTGAAGATAACTTTTAAAGGTCGATGTTTTGATGTCCAGGTTGGGAAGGATTCCTAAAGGACTGCTCTGTAATGCCAAACCAGGCAAAGCTCAGAATATTTCTTTTTCTACCTAATAAAATATAGCAAAACATAAAGGAATGGGCTTAATTAGAAACAAGCAAAGCAAAAAGAAAATGTGGGTGTAGCAGAAAATACAAATATTGCTTATATGCAGTGTCCACATCTGTTTAATCTCTATAACATGTCGAAAGATTTTTAGAATAGACAACATAAAGAATTTTAGGGGGGTTGTCTGGGCTGCTGACTGGAACGGACCAAGCACTGGAACCGAGCAGTCAACTTGGGGGGCTGGTTGGAGCGACCAAACCCGACCCGTGACGGTAGCCTGGACACCGGTGGCCCTGTGGTGTCCAGGGCCACCTGTGTACCGTAACTGGGTAGGCCGATGGAAGTGCCACTAGCAAGGCAAGGAAGGCAGGGTTCCCGGACTAGCCTTGGAGCTGACGGCTCGGTTCAAGTGCCCGGTGTGTTTCGACTACGTGTTGCACTGAAGTCAACCAAAATCCGGGACAATTTTGAAATTCCCCACTGACATTTTTTTTAGGTTTGAAAAGTAGGACATGTCCGAGAAAAAGAGGATGTCTGGTCACCCTACCATATCAACAATTTGAGTGAGTGCTTGTTGCTATGATGCGTCTTTGCTCAGCAGCTTCGCTCGTTGTAAACCAACCAATCAACGCACAGCTCATCTAAATATTCATGAGCATAACATAAAAGGAAGAAAGCCTGTCATTTCATTCTAGGGTTTATAACCAGGCTTGCATTAGGGCTCATAGAACAGCAAATATGCCATTTTTAGCCCAACCAATGTTACACACCCTATTCAGAGACCTTAAGGACCGGCATCAAATACCCTATATAATCATTCTATGACCCCTTTAAATGCATTCCCAAATAATAATTTATGAAGAAGAAATTGCACCGTTTAATGCTTTACTGTAAGAAACCAAAATATCTCACCAGGGATTCCCAGCTGTCATAGGGTCGGAGCTCCACTATCCTCTGGGCCTTTTTCACAGAGCATCCAGCAATCAGAGAAAGCTCATCTATTGTAGCATTCTGGAAAAATGCAACTATCTCTTTTTTTACATCCATCTTTTCATCGTCACCCTCAAGCTCGTCATCTGAATCCTCATAGTCGCTTGTTAGGATATCCTCTTCGTCATCAGAACTGACTTCCTCATTGGAGGCCCTCGCTTTTTTCTTTCTTTCCACTGCCTGCTTTTTAGCATTGCCAGTATCACTAGAAAATTTGGACACAGCCTGGGAGGCTGAGGAGGAAGATGAAGGCATCGTGGTGGCATAGGTAGAGGTACGCTTAGCAGAAGACGAAGAAGACAACAGCCTTGGGTCCAGAGTGTAAATGCCCCCTTTTATTTTGGAGCTTTTGTCGTACTCTGTATCAGACTCGTCTTCACTGTCCTTTGTACCATCTGTACTAGTCCCATCTGTCTTTTCAATACTTTTATCATTACATGTTGTGTCCTTTGATTCCATGTATTCTTTAATTGACTTTGGTTTCCTTTTGTGTTTGGATTCTTCTAAATCAGAATTGGAACTACTATTATCTGTGAAAAGAAAAATGTTTGTTACTTAAACCATTAAAAGGTAATCAAAAGGAAGTTTAATTTCAGACAACGTGTGCAGTGTACCTGTATCATCTGTACTGTTCCCATCTGTTTCAATGTTTTTGTCTGAGTTGCCCATGGTTGACACCCCTTTGCCTTTTGATTTTTGCTTTTTTGGAATAACTAAGTTACAACCGCTGTTATCTACCAATTATAAGAATGAAAGAATGTTTCAGTAAATCAAAGTATTACTGAACTCATCTGTTAAACGTCATCATTGTAAAAAGTTAAAATATGATAAGATTTAGATATTAAATTGGATGGGCACCTGACTCAGAGAACATCTGGAGAACCTGCAGAGCTTCTTCCACATCCCAGTCATGTTCCTGAAGCACCATCCTCAGCTCCTAAACAAAAGAATTCAGAGGTTAAATGGTCTTATAACGTAACCAAATTAAGAACAATAAAATACAACTACAAGGAGAAATAAGTTAGAAAGTAAGCTACATGTCTTCACCTCCTTGTCCTGGTCGGGAAACCTCTTCTGAAGTCTTTTCACCATGACCTCCTGCTTCTCCCAGCTTGGTTCTCTCCCTTCATCATCTTCTTCATCAGACACCTTTGCAATAAAGTAAAACATGGGAGTCAGATACCCGAGGACCTATATTAAAGTCCTTAATGTAACCAAAAACGTGTAATGTTCTTACCACAGATGATTTCCTTTTTTTACTCTGGTGAACATCACCACTGTCCTGAGAACAGCTAGATTCGTCCTGCTTTCTCTTCCTGCCTTCACTTGGTGCTGGAAAGACAAACAGGGATGCTCTCAAAAAGCCTGGCCAGCCAGACTCACTAAGAGGGTGCTTTTCAGTCTGCTAATGCTCAGACTCCCATGTGTAAAACAGGCCAAACCAATCACAAAGCTAGGGGGGCTAGTTTATGCTTAGCCAGCATTACCTACAATGCAACAGTGCTTTTCTGCAACTAAAAAAGTCAGACAGATTGCAGTTGAAACTTTTATGTTTGATGATGCCCTTCATTATGTTTAGAATTAGTTGAAAACATATTTACAGTTTTAACAATAACATTGGCTGCTGTAAGAGCTTTTCCTTAAAAAACAAAAAAAACAAAACATTATTTCATCACATCTGATTGGCTCTATCCTGTTTTCTCCTGACTGCTAGTCCAGCCTTTGGGATCAGACTCTACCAGCTCCTTTCCAGGCTGATATGCAGTGTACAGGTTGCAAGTTACAGCCTGGCAAGGTTAGCCTTCAACATAGGTTAAAGGACTGAAAAAAAAACCAGCTTCAATAAAGAAGGCTTTAGGGACAAGTTCTAATGGTGACTAGGGCTGCAACAACGAATCGATAAAATCGATAAAAATCGACTTTTAAAAGCGTTGGCAACGAATTTCATCATCGATTAGTTAAGTCGCGCAATTAATGCCGTCATCACTGCCACTTGACTGAAACGGGGGAAGAAAAAAAAAATTACGGCAGAGCGAGCCAGCGCTGCAGGTGCGCTGTGTTGCCAACTCAGCGACTTTGTCGCTATATTTAGTGACTTTTCAGACCCCTCCAGCGACTATTTTAAAAAAAAAGCGACTAGCGACAAATCTGGCGACTTTTTACGGTGTCACTGGCGGCTTCTGGAGACTCTTACGTGAAAGCATGTATCGTTCCTAGTCTTGTCCTTGTCATTTGATGAAATGGGAGGACCTATTGTTTGAGCCCCTTAGGGGCTTTTAAAAACAAAAATGTCTTTTTTGCGCTTTATGAAACAAAGTAGCCTATATTTTGTGGATGTACAGCCACATTTCTCATGTAAGTTTGCGTAGTTTTAACACAAACATTTATTTTTCATATTGCACCAGTACAGTTAATGAGCAACCTGTACTTGTGTGCTTGTTTGTTCTGTCTAAAATGTTTATTTTAGAATAAAGAGGTTAGTATAAAAAATATTTTTTGTCCGATTCATCGATTAATTGAAAAAATAATCGGCCGATTCATCGATTTTTAAAATAATCGTTAGTTGCAGCCCTAATGGTGACCTTTCTTTGTTTAGAATGTTTGTTTTACAGCTTTTAGTAACTTTTTATATTTGGGCAAATCAACATTTTTTTTTTATTGTTTTTTAATAAAATGCCATTTAAAGAAAAGATGAAAACAATTATTTACCTGCTTTGTCACCAAATCTGACAAGGCAGACAGCTATAGCGCCTTCCAAGGTACTTGTACTCCCAGTGACCTGAAAACATAAAAACAGTGAGCTGTACAAAATCTAACAACTTGATTTTTTTTCACAAGACCAACAGTAAGATTATCCAGATATTTTGTTTTTCAAAAATACAAAACAGCCACTTCCATCATTTAAGAAAGAATCTTTCCAATAACTACAATTTTAGCATATTTTTAGTTTCCACTATTATCCAGATGATACACCTACTACTTTATCTATAATCCCTGATTAAACTTTGCATGTCTAATGGAAATAAAAACCTTCATGATTGTAAAACTTCTGCTTTTGAATTCAGACAAGAAAGCAGCTCTTGTCTTTGGACCAGAGTCTTTGAAAAAAGAAGCAAATGTGTCTCTTCATCAGGATGGTATTAAATTGGCATCTGATAACATAAAACTCTGGTCATAGTTTTGATCAGGACATTCGATTTAAATTCCATATTTTACAGGCTTCTAGAATATCCTTGCTATAATCTAATATTGCAAGATTTTGAAATATCCTGTCCAGGGCTGATGTTGAGAAACTAGTTCAAGGATGGACTATTGTAATTCTTTACTATCAGGAAGTCCACAATCTTGAGTTAAGAGGCTTCGTCTGATCCAAAATGTTGCAGCCAGAGTTATGATGAAAAGAGAGATCATACCTCTCATATTCTAGCTTTTCTTCATTGGCTTCCTGTTAAACCAAGAATAGAATTTATATTCCTACTTCTCATATATAAAGCCTTAAATAACTAAGCTCCATCTTATATCGGAGATCCGTTTGTTCCTTATTTTCCTAACAGACCACTTTGCTCTCTATCTACTAGTGAGTTCTAGAATTTCTAAAAGTAGAATGGAATGCAGATATTTTACTTATCAGGCTCCTCTCCTGTGGAACTAACTACTAGTTCTATTCCCTGAGGAAGACACTATCTTTACTTTTAAGATTTGACTTAAAACCTTCCTTTTTGATAAAGCTTATAGCTGGAGTTGCTCAGGTCATCCTGTGCTACCTTTATAGTTGTGCTGTTATAGGCTTAGGCTACTGCAGGAGATAGGGACAACTTTGAACTCCTAACATTACATAGTAGCTTCTTCTGGCCAAGTTCTTTTTGGTTGCGACATCATACTGCATCAATCTATCAGATAGGCTGCTGCCATTAACAAATTTCCTTTAAATTCCATGTAAAAAATGTGGGCTCCTTTTCAGTGCTTAGTCCTTAATACAAAGTAATGGGCTCAGGTTTAACTTTGAGCTACTTTTTATTGTTTTTTACCTGAAAACCAACTAATAGCTCATCTAATTAAATGTTTATATCCTAGATAAAGCCCCCTATGGAGCTAGTTTGCAGTTTACCTTTACTAACATGGAAAGAATTTAAGGATGGGTAATTCTATGTTCTTCTACAAGAGTACTACAAGAGCCTTGTTCTTCCTTCTAATTAAAGAGTTTTTCTTTCCACTGTCACTGCCTGCATGCTCATTGTGAGACTGTGCAGGGCAAAACATCACAATGCAAGCAAAAGTCCACTGTTGGTACATGCTCATCCAGGAGAGGCAGATCCTGCCAAGTCATTGAATCAAAGCAATAAGCTGGATTTCCTAGGAAAGAAAACACTTAACCAGTTGGTCTGTATGATTTGATTAAATTGTTTCTGTAAAGTATCTTGAAATAACATGCATGGTTTATTGGGGCCATATATAAATAAACTGAGTGTCATGGTTTTACAACCCCGAAATCTGGAAGAAAGTAACCTAAAATAAGTCAGTCTGTGGTTCCTCTTCGTCAGTTCTTTTTTTTTTTTTTTAAAACATCCAACTCTTTGAACATTTTTCCCCTCATACAAATTCCACCCTAAGAAACTCTTGGTTACTTTATTTAATTTGGTCAATCAACTTCCACCAAGATGCTTGCTATAATTGCTTTTATTGCTTAACTGCTATTTAAACATATTTACTTTTCATATCTGCATTTACATGTTGCAGCTGGCATTTATTTCCACAAGGAGGCAATACTAAAACTGTTATAGCCATATCATTATGAGAATTTTATATAACTCTAATTACATGAAAACAACCAGGATAACTCAGTTATGTGTATAACAGTAGTACATCATTATTATGCACATAATTTTGTATAACAAGCTATCTTCAGGCCTGAACAAGGCTGCATAGAGTAGAAAAAGAGTATTTTAACCATCACGGTGAAAGAGGTAGACAATGAGAATAAAATATTGTCTTTTCCCTTACAAATCATGTAGCATGGTGTTTGAAAGCCAAAATGTGTTAACTTACAGTAAAAATTAACCTAAAGCTACTAAAATGTTGAAATATGTTAAGAGGTAACAACAGCTGAATCCCATCTCACCTCCAGTGCATCAGTTCTAGACAACTGAGGAAACAATTCCAGTAGTTTGCTTATTTTCTCATCTATTTCCTCATCATCTGTGTCATTGGCTGGGTTCTGCAAAGGGCTCCTATGGTCGGGAGGGGGAAAAAAGTCAGACTAACTGTATCAGAGTACAATTGCGTTAATAGGTTAATGCACAAAGAAGCACATACCTATCTTTTGTGTTTGACTCAGCCACAAACTCATCCTCCTCCAAATCTACAGATATTTCTTCTTCAAAAACCACTCCTCGTGCGTGGGACTTTGTGGTGGATTTATGAGATTTGACTTGAGCTGAAACACATGAAAGGACAAATTATTGTAGCAGCTCGATTAATCTATGCCATGACTGACAGTAATGCTTTAATAAAGCATAATTTAATTTAATTTAATTTAAAATGTCTGTGCTATAACTCACATGCATAGTTTTTTTCTTATTAAAGATGAACTCACGTGGCATGACAGCTTGTGATAATCATAATTCTATTTATAAACAGTTAACTGTATTAACACATTTTACACAAAAAACATGTGCCTTGGATGACAGCTCCTTTCTTGCTAAGTTTAGCATTTCTGAAAAACATGGCTAACCACGGTGCATGCTAGTTTACTGCAGTTACCTGGTTTGTTCTCCTTTTCAGAATCCGGACTTTTTGAGACGCAAACTGATTCTTTGTTGGCTGCTTTCTTCTCGAAACGAAAACGGTCCAAGTTGAAAAAACTCATTTCAGCTGTGATTATGTGTTTGTGTCAAAAAAAAAACGGTAGCCCTTTGTCTTTTTCCACTCAGTGCTATATAATCTCTGTTCTATCTAACGCATTATCAACTACGTCTCGTTAGCTAACGTGAGGGTCCAACAAGCTAGCCTAAAGTGTTAGCATAAGGGCCGTCGGGAAGAAATTCCAGCCAGGACGGCTTGTTACGAGCTTTGTCACTGTCGTACTTTTGGCTACAACAGTTCAAAATCAAACCATACGTCACGCGTTTCACAAAGAAATTATAAAATAAAGGCCATACGTTAATTATTTGTGAAATTATACCGCGAAAAGCCGGTTTCCCGCTTACACAAGCGGCTAAAGGTCCTGCTGATTGGTCAGTGAGACAAGTGGGCGGGGATTAACCTAATGAGTCAAGATAGTACTCCGAACAGTACTTCCGTGTATGTTCAGTTCTTTTTTTTTACTTAATACTTGTCTCGTTTATCCGCCGTTTGCCAAATCTTCACCTCCTCCCCGACCCATTTTTGTCAACATTCTGTCAGTTAAAGAACAGAAGAGGAATTAAATCGATATACGAGTTATTTCACAGCGAAAATCCACAGAGGGGACACTATTAACGCAACCATCTCTTTGATGGTGTTCTGCAAAGCCGTGATATAATCTTGTTTACTCGGCAAACGTTTAAAATTATAGAATCACAATACCAAAATAATGTATACATATCAGTTAATCTAATCGTTAATTTAATTTATGAATTGGTTAGCAGTAGCATTTTTTGCAACAAGTCTTATTTGTGGAATTTGTCCACAGGGTGGCGCACAGACAACCAAGACAGCTGAAGTCTGAACCATTCCTTGGTCAAACATGTGGCGGCAGCAGATTCTAAAGAATAGCAGAAATTGAAGCGTCATCTTTCTGTACCTGCTGAAATGGAGAAGCCCCTTTCAGCGAAATGTGGAATGCTTAACCGATAAAAGCTTTTAAAAATAATTATATCAATCATGCAGTATTGTTTATAGACATTGCTTTAACCGTGTTGCCTGCCTGCCACCTGTTACCTTAAAATAAAAAGAACTTGTTTTGTGTTTGAGATCATTTTAAACTTAGTACTTAAACCTTAAAATGTGTTTGTACATTGAGATCATTGATAAGCAGCAGAGGGCAGCTATAGTGGTTGATGTGGCCATCCAAAATGATGGAAACAGGAGAACACGAGAAATCTATCTATCTATCTATCTATCTATCTATCTATCTATCTATCTATCTATCTATCTATCTATCTATCTATCTATCTATCTAT